ATGCTCCTAGAAGAGCCAATGTCCCCAGGAAAACTGGTGATGAGAACATATGATCAAAGCCAAGGGTGAGAACCCATCTCCAGGAGAAAAACCCCAAGGGAGGATGATCTTCAGGAAACTTTTGGAAGTAGTAATCTGGAGCCTCGCCTTGGTCAATGAAAGTTCCTTCAGAGGAACAAATAGAAATAAAACCAAGTTACCGCAAAATACTCATATTGAGCTGAACAAATAGTAAGAAGAAGTGATCAGGATGGTAGATTTAAGATGGAAAGAATAGTTTATAGTCAAATTTAACATTTGAATAAGAACACATATTGAACAATAACTTCACCATACGTTAACACAGACTTAATTCTCTGGTGTCATGCTAGTTTCCCGAGGAAAAAGCTCATAGTCATGCAAAGATGGAAGGTGGAGTTGGAATGTTTTTTCTTTATATGGAAAGTAAAATGGACTTGGAATCTCACAAGAACATGATATCTTTTGTGGAATCTCCAAATTGAAAGCTGTTAATTCATAACATGAATGTACCTATACTGCAGGTCTACAGCATCACTGCAACAGCTACCGCCCAAATCATTATGTCTAAAAAGTGCAAACCAAAAATCAAGAAATATCGAGAAAACTTAACTATGACGAAAGTTTATACATAGGAACCACACAAATGATTATACATATCCATCAACCATAAGAATGCAGTTGGATAAATTTTCTACAGAATCAACACCAGTAGCATCATAATCATTTGTGCCTCTACCATAATATGTATATCGCACATATGCACGAATTACACAACGTTCTCAATCAATTACGCCTCAATTCCAAACTAGCTGGGATTCGCAATATATAATCCTCCACACCTGTTTTGCTTTATTCGAGCGCATTTCATTCAATTTTGGTAAATAAGTTATTTTTTAAGACAAATAATTTTGGTAAATAAGTTATTTTTTAAGACAAATTAGTATTTCTCTAAATCTCAGAGTTATCTGTAAAGTGACATAAAGAAACATTTCAGCTGAAATTTACCTAAGGCCATTAAGGCAGCAACAGAAAACATCTCAGCAATAGCTAAAGGCAAATTGGACAAAATCCCCAAAACTTTTCTTGGCAATTTCGTCAAAAGTCCAAAACCAACAACACCATTCTTCGTCTCCTCCACCTTCCTTCCACCATTTCCTACAGACCCTTCTTCCGATTCAACAACTGGTGGCGCCACACCATCAGAACCTGGAACTGAAATCCGGCTCTTTTCCTTGCTGGGTTTGTTCCCTTTTACTGTATTGAGCTTACATGTAAGAGTAAAAGAAAAAGTACGGCCTTTGTTGCTGTAAACACCAAGAATTCGAGAATTGTGGATAAGGGGATAAGGTTTGAAATGTAAGGGATGAATTTGGTTTTGCACAAGTGACATTTTGAGAGCCTCCATAGATGTTGGAGTTTTTGGGGGTAAAAATTTGCAGAGGCAGGAGGTTTGCTTCAGTCCATGTATGGAGGTGTAACGAGCGGGTTCGTTCGTTTATCCATAAAGATGAAAGGTGTACAACTGTAATTAAAGTGGATTTTTCGCCTAAGGTGGTCCAAAATAAATAAGTGAAAATTGTGCAGCAAACCATTAAACGATAATTAATGTTATAGCCACTATTTAAATTTTTTTATCATTCACAGCTATAGTTTCTCCAAGTCTTGCTATTTGTTTAATTTATATAATTCGCATAAATTGTATGATTCGCCTAATTGTATAAATTAAAATTTTGTATAATTCGGTTTCTGATGGTATAAATTCATAATTTGTATATGTTTACCCTATCTATTTGTATACGATTTATGAAAAATTCACAATAAATTCCTAAATGTATAAATATAGAATTTGTATACACTTACCCTATTTGTATATTCACAAACGAATTACACAAACGGATAAGCGAAATATACAAACCACAGCTTCCATAGAAAACAGAACAATAGCTATGGGGCGCAATTATCGAAACTATAGATATAGAGCCTTATTATGTTTATTATGTTTTCTATTTCTGAAATTTTCTCAAATAAATAATTTCTTGAAATTATTTGCAAATCAAAGGTGATTTGATAATATTAGAGAAAAAAACCTAAAATAGTTCTTTATTTTTTATTTAAAACTCAAAGTCCTCATTATAATATTTGTGTACTTTTGATCCTCCCTCGTGTTTGCAATATGAATATGCATATTAATCTTATAAATATATAATCGATCAATTGGTGTGATACATATATTTCTATCCCATATAGCTATGTCAAACTAAATTGATATGATGAACCGTGAATACACGTCATTTATTTTGGTCATGAGTTACATATTATGTTTTATTAACCATATATGCTATTTGGAAATTATTAATTTGAATTTGCATTACTCCTTATTAGGGTATTGCCTTTTTTCAAGAATTTAAAAGCTCTAATTAATAGTGAGTCTACACAGGGCCGACTCAACAAGATTGGAGGACTAAAGTCAAACCTTAAAAGAGAGGCCCTAATATTTTGAGAAATATTTTGTTTCTTTAATCTCTTTAATAATTTTATTCTTGACTTCACTTGCCAATAAGTTTAATAATTCACTTTGTATATTATGTCCAAGGTAATGATTATGAATTTCGTCATGTTTATTCTTCAAATATGTTTTTGCATAGCTGGATCAAATTTATTAATCATTTCAATTAGGCTTTAAAAATTACCGTTACTTTCTTGATAGATCTTTCCATTTGTTCCCCTAAATGTTAAATTATTTTTCCAAAAAATTTTGATCACGTCAATAATTCTTGACAATACATTTTTCCATTGCACTTTATCTCTATCAATTTGTTCTGCACAACTTTATCAATTGTTTTTTAATGCAATCTCATTTCTAAATCAATACACGAGCTCATATTATTAATAATATGTTCATTCTTTACTTCATGGACTTTGAGCTTAACACTAAGATTTCTCCACTCATTACTACCTTCACTAACAAGTTTACTATTACAAATAATAGAAGTTGTGCTAAATAATTTACGACAAAAACAAAATTTTTTTTATCCAAATCTTTAAAGTAGATTAATCATTTTCTTTCATGCTTTTCTCCGTGTACCAATTTTTTGAATATAGTGTGTTGTAGAAAAATATCATACGTATTTATCTTGTGAAAAATTTATATCAGTCATTCTAAATGGTCCCTTTTCTACTAATAGATCTCTCAATTTTTTATCTACATTATTCCATTGACTTGGATCATATATATTTTTAGGGATGCAACTATTTAAATTATTTAGGAGTTCTTGATATCTGGAACAATGTCACATTTTCACCAACTTCTTCTAGATTTTATTCTTGGATATCAATTCTATTGGTGACTTTTTCATTTGAAGAACATCCTCCAATATTTTTTTATTCGAAATATTTATTATTTGTTAAATATCTATCAATGGCTCTTTTTTAAGATTTATTTAATTCTTCAAGTTTTCTCTCTTTTTGCAAAATCGGAATCATGTTTTCTAGTTGACATATTAAAATTGAATAAATTTTAATAATAATTAAAACAATTTACATATACTTAAGAATATCAACGATAACAATTTTTCAAGAAAAATTATAAAATCTCTTACACGTTTTTTTTCCAAAAAATTAATATAATTTTTTTAATAATATGTATAAGTACTTTTTTATATAATGGGGGTCCCAAAATATATGGGCCTCAAGTGATGACTTTTGTGGCCTAGTGGTTAAGACGATCCTGTCTACACAAAACTTTCTATTACTATTAATGCAATTGTATACGACATGGATGATTACAATTAGCTATATATTATGAAAAATAACAGAACCAAATTAATACAACGATTTCTCCAAACAACCATGTCTAAAGAAGAAAAATTAACGAGTGAACTATTTATCTAGAACATATTTGATTTGAAGCTGTCGAAGTTTTCAAAAAAAGAACTACCATATTCGAAGCTCATGGATTGCTTCGAATTCCCATTCCGATTCCAGGGAAAAAAGAAGGAGTTGTCGACTTCAAGAAAAGATAACAAGTTTGGGGAATTCTTCAAAATTCTACACGAATTGGAATAGGAATAGGAATCGTATTGACGTTGAAGTTGTTGTAAATTGGATATATGTTGACGTAGTTGTGAATAGAACCATTGTTGACAAGACTCACATCTACACTTCTTTAAATTATACCACATGGTGAAATTATCAAGTTCTTCAAATAAATTTGCCATCGCCGTATAAACTCAATTTGCTTTTGTCAATTAGAAATATGTGTCTTGTAGGTACGTAATATATATAATGGTCTTAATTAGTAATATTTGAGTAGGATATGGATTTAACTAGAATTAACTTAATCGATTACTCCCTAATTAGGAAATTGATTAGTCGAGTCCTAATCCTATCCTGACATGGTTTATGACTTTCTGTGATTGCAAATTAAAAATTAAAAATATTCTTTTTTTTATCTTTTAGAAAGCCAGACAAACCCTTTGCTTGTCGGAAAAGAGTGAGGGATGAACGAAGATCGAGTGTCTATTTTTTTAATAATAAATAATAATTAGATTATTTTAGGTAATTTTTATTTTGACTCAATAAAATATTTTGTGTAATTTTTTCTTTTTAATATAATTTTCCGTTGGTCCAAATAATTGATTAACTCACTCTTAAAATCAAAGAAGAGTTTTGACCAAAATACATTTAATTATTACTTTCTCTCTTTAGATTGACATACTCATTATTAAATTTGTACAATGTATTTGAAATATGTCAAGGGTAAATTTGGAAAAAGAAATTAAACACTATTTTGATTTTGTAAAATTCTTAGAAACTAAAATATCAATTGTATTTTTTATGAAAGGAAATATTAATGATTAGTATTGAATATTAATACACATAAAATTCAAATCCTAGATCACATCTCATCTCGTTAATAAAATAACTAAAGCACAATTAATCAAACAAATGGGAATGGATTTAAAATTGTTGTAACGGCTAGTAAACCAAGTTCCCTGAGAATGGAAGCAGGGCAACAGCAACACCATTCATGGAAACTGAATGTTCATGCCAAGGCCAAGAACTTCAATTTCAAATTGGTAGCTTCCAATTTCTTACCCAATTCCAAGTGTTTCCCATTCTCTCTCAAATTCAAGTACTGCAGATTCTTCATCCATCTCAATTCTCAAACATTCATCTCTCCGAATCCCCAGAAACCTAAATCTTTCAAATCAAAACTCCATCGATTCCTTCAGAGACTCCGCCGACAACGTAAGAACAACAGAGTCACCAGTTCCAAACCAAAGAACAAGGTAACATGGAAAATTTTAGTCTTATGATTTGCAGCAAATTAAATATTAGGGGTTTCGGTTATCCGATAAATTGATTTAATTCCATGGGTAAGAGAAGCGTCTTTATTTGCTCAATCTAGCTCTAACTAATTAGAATTTTGACTGTCTTTTCTGATGCAGGCAACCATTTCTCAGAGTTCAGTGGTGTTAGGGAATCTACTCCTTTTCATTCAATCAATATATCAAGGGGATAAAGATGGAATCTTTATACTTGGTTCTATTGTTATTATTTGCTTTGCTTCCTTATTTAAAAAAATCATGGCAAGAAAAGCTTGGATTTTGTTGGTTTTCGTAACTGGTGCCCTAGTTTTTTTCTCGAATGTGATGCATCTCAGATTCAGAAGCCAGTTTGATCATCAGCACTATCTGTTCGGATTCTTTTGGAGGGCTTTCAAAAATATTGCCTCCTCTGCCTGTTTTTATATACTATCTCAGGTGCTTACTGCTATATCTAGACTAATATGACTTTTCTAGGGCCAAAGTCTATGTTGAATGTGCTATATCTGATTGTTCTGTTGGAAATTTCAGTGTCAAATTGTCCTCTTTATTAGTATACCTTTGTTGGAAATTTCAAACTCAAATTGTTCTTCTGTTGCTTCATTTGCTTTCTTTTCTATCTTGATATTTTTTCTGTCATATTTTGCTTGCAATCCTGCTTTGATTACCTTCGAGGATCTATTGGAGCCAACCTCTCTACCCTGCAAAGGTAGAGATTCTGTTGTTTGTGTTCTTTATAAAGTCAAGTTGTATGGTTTTACATAAATGTTACTCCTATATGAGACTATATATTGTAAAACACTGAAGCATATGGTGCAAAAAGTGCATAATGGAGACAAGGGGAACTGACTGATAGGGGGAACTGCTGCTAAATGAAGATAGGTGGAATGTGTGACAGGGGGAACATGTTTGTCTTCAAAGTGTTTGCTGAAATGATTGCATAGTTTGTCATCATCAAAAAGGGGAAAAATGTTATAACGTTGGAAAATCAATTTTGATGATTGACAAACTTGATGAAGGGACCTGGTACCTCCTCTAAAGCATTTTCGCCAAGTCAAATAGCATAACTGTAAAGTGTACTGTGTCTGCACAGTGCGGCAAAGTGGTATGGCAGTGTAGCAGCAGGACCTACCAATGAGAAGAGGTTAAGGTTTTTCCCTTTCTCCCTCTCTCATTGATAAGAAGACTTGAAAGAGCAAAACCAAAACTTTTGCAACAGTAAAAAATATTGCTGTTGTCTCAAAAGTATGGGCTGTCTCAGCTTCCACATCATGAAGACCTGAACTATAAGGGACCTGCTCTTATCTATCGAAGTTGTTCCTTTATTCCTTGTTCGGTCTTGGTTCTTGTGCTAAACATTATAAATCTACTCTTCTTTATGAAGCTTGTATAGGTATTGTTTCTTCTCCTTATCTTTTAGATTTGAGTTGTTGGCTAGAGTTAGCCGTGGTGTATTGTTGGAATCTATATCAACTAGAGTTAGTTGGTATAGTAAGAGAGCAATAGAGTAATTACACTAGAGTTTTGCAATAGAGTTGTTGCTAGGGGAAAGGGATTAAGAATTCAATTCCCAGGTTGCAAGAGTTTGTAATCTGAAACCTTTGTGTTTAGTGACGTTGTTGGTGAATACCTACGGCCGTGACTTTGAGCAAGGAGGTTTCCATGTAAATATCGTGTGTTGATTACTTTCTGATATGTTCTTCTTCTTTGTTCTTAGTTGTTCCTAGTCAAGGACTTGGTCCCTTGACTCGTGGTGGATACATTCGAGCCAACAATGCATAATTAAGCATTGGATTGCAAAGAGTTCTTCTAGTTTAAAAACTCTTTTCCACTGTCACCTCTACCTTTTACAAGTCCTTCAGTTTAAAAACTTGCTATCTCCAACTAGTTATCATAATTACTTATTCTTTCCTAAACATGTTTAAGAAGTCTACTCTAAAGATGTGATCATTTTGTCAAAGTGAGCCTTCCCTTTCCACCGGAGCTTCAGGGGCATTGCCCCGTTCCCCAATCAGATGTTTGGATGTGAGCTATACTCTGCGTATTTGACCTTGCCTTGCCATTTGACCTCTTTTCCCGTGTGACTACACTGAGTGTGAACCAGTGGTGCAAAAACAGCGAGTATATTCATTTAGCCACCCTGAAAAGGAAAAAACAGCATGACAAACGGAGGAAGAATAACATGTTGTACTTGCTAAAATTTGTCAAGAAAATCAATTGACAAGGTGCACTTTGTATTGATTGAGTTCTACTGCAGCTGATATTGTGCCTGCCCTGAATATTGCAGAAGATCATTCAATGTAGTAAATGAAGATGCAGTTGCAGGCAATTTCAATCTTTTGGAAGCACAAGAATCTCATAAAGATTTTGGATTAAATGTTTTAATTTGATGTCACAGCAAACATTATGAAAGTTGAAACCAGTATTTTACTTGAAATACACAGTTAAACCAGTATTTCAATATTCAACTTAAAGTTGTCATACTCAAATTCAATAATTAGATACTCATTGTCAAAACTAATGCCAAAAACAAAGGTTTAGTATATTGAGGATAAAGATACATTCATAAGAATTTTAGTGGATCGACTGTATTACATAAGTTAACTCCTAAAACACGTGAAAATTAAATGATGAAAAAGGGAGCAAGACGGGGAAGAAAGATATTTACCTTATCATGCTAAATTTAACTTACTTTATCATACCGTATTAATAATTTCTTTCTACTTTTATCATGCTCCATCGAGCATTCTTAAAATTTCTTGTGCTTTTTATACTTTAATTTTTACTTTTTAAAATGTTTAAATTAGCATCCATTCAATCACATATTACTATGAAAATCGTCAAGATTCTCTAAAAGTCTGTAAGAATAGAGTTACTAAAATTATAATGCATATTCAGAAGATACATAAATAGTATCGTCAATTTTGTTAGTTCATATAGTTCAATTTACTAGGTTAGTCATAGTTTGTAAAAAAGACAAATAACAAATAAATCAAATACGGTTAGTTTCCATCTCTCTAAAATAGAATTAAAAATATAAAAGAAATGTCATGAATTCTATAAATTAATATTTTTGAAAGGATGTTGACGATATTTAAGTTTCTTCAATCAATTACATCTAATTTACCTTTTTTTTTTAAATAAATAAATTATATTTCTATCTCATCAATTTCTAGTTAAATATAATTCATCATTTTTTAAAAAGAGTTATTTAAGTTTGAATATGAAAAAAGAGTTACGTTGAAACAAAATAAATAATAGATATAAAAAGAATAAAAAATAAAAATAAAAAGAATGTGTCTAATAAATTTAAAGAAAAACAAATTAAAAAGAAGAAATGGAACTAAAGGAAAAAATAATGATAAAGAAGAAGAAAGTCTAAGCCCAAAAAGTTCCATTTTCCAAAGCATTTGAAGGAGGGAAAGAAGGAGGGAAAAAATGTTGTCAATGGGAATCAAACTCGTGACCTAGGGGCATTTGTTGAACCACTTGTCAGCTAAGCCAAGGCACTACTTTATTTTTAGGGGGTTCATTTTAATATATATACGCATAAAATCAGAATTTGACGTTATATATATAGTGTAATTTTTTGACGAGGGGGTTCGAGTGAACCCCCTCGAGTCCACGTAGGTCCGCCCCTGCTAATGAGACAACAAATCTCTACTAATTAACAAACATGAAGAAAAAAAGAACTAGAGAAAACTAGGTATTCTACGATCATCATGAAATTTATAATACTCTTTATGGTGATATTACAAATGAAGATGCTCAAGTAATGCAAGAATATAAAATCTAAGAATAAAGATGAGTTAGTCACCTCAAAGTTCATTTGATATATGTATGAACTAAAACAAATAGTTTGCCCGTCTAAAGTAATCTGAAGTATTTGCCTCTTGTCTTCTTCTTCAAATCTGTCCAAAAATAATTGATAGTTCATCACTTCTTCTTGGATTTATTGGATCTTAATAAAGTTGTTGACACTGTCATATGATTTTGCTTTGCGAGTCGCATCGGTAGGTGCCTTGGAACAAAATCCTCACTCACCTTACCATCCAACTATGTTGTCTTCTATGTGTCTTTCTTTTTGCATTTGGTGCTTCCACTTCTTTGTTGTCTAGGTGAAAGATCCCCCTCCTTAGCCACCTTATCAAAGCATATATCCAACATTTCATCTTCATCATCCTCATTGTCTCCATCAGACATGTCATTGTCCAAGTCATAAAGAATATCTCTATCAGCCACGTTTACTTTTGTAGCACTCAAGTTAGATGACGTACATATGACTGCCATAGATGGATTTGTTTTACTTGTAGGCACAAATTCAAGTGCTTGAGGGCTTAACTTACTTCTACTAGGTGAAGGAGTATGATTCTCTTCCTCAACTAAATCTGCCCATCTTGAAGCACTCCCCCCAACCCTCGTTTTTCCTTAGATTCATTCAAATTGTTTGTAGCCACCTCTTGATCTAAAATAAACATGGTAGGGCTTAACTTGTTTAATTTTGCATATATAATTTTATGTTTTTGTATCTAAAATTAACAAGGTTATATATGGAGATAATTCTTTACGGTAGTATTTCTAGTTTTTTCACTTCTTTCTTCTTCGAAATTGCACGTACCATCATCATGTGGTGGAATATATAAGTGTGATTCCTTCATTCTTAATTATAGGTTTTCGGTTTGAACCCTGAAAATAAGAAAATGTATTATATTACTTAAATGTCTGTACTTTTAATCCCCTCTTTTGTAATTAATAGACAAGGTAGGGATACATAAACAATCATGTCGTTGAGCTTGACTCCGTTGTAGCAGTCTACGCTCAATGCAATGGAGACGAGTTGAGTAGTGGAGATGTTCACTCTTAAAGCTGGACTACTTACTTGTCAGCTAAATTTGAGTGTCGATTTGTGTATTATGCCTATATTTTATATCTTCGTGTCTCAAGCTAAAAAGGGTTCTAATGATAGCTCTTTACCTACATGTCATAATCAAAAGTCTCTGGTTCCTACTATGAAAGTAGAAAATTACCCCCATTATAATTAATTGGAACTACTTCAATTCACATATGGGGTAGCTTTTAATTTTTCAATTATGAGAAAAATGTTCTAATTTTTCTCCCACTTACAAATAATTGTTTTGAAGCAAAATGCATGTTTAAATACAATTTTAACATCCACATATCATTTTACCATTACAACTTCAACTACTATTTTTTTCCCACATATCACTCAATCATGCCCAAACGCCTACTAAATAAATTTTAGTAAAAAATTCTTAAAATATAAGAAATGAAGTCTAGTATTATCAATCACACAAACTTGTATTTAATACTCCATCCATCCCAATTTATGTGGTACTTTTCTGTAATGACCCTCATGGTCATTTCTGTGTCTTGCCTTCTGTGTGTCGTTTAGAGCGTTTCTATAGCGACCCCAAGTCATTTATGACTTGCTGGGACTGATAGTTCGGTCACCTGGTCGTTCGTTTGGTCTTGGTGTGAGTTTTTGTGTTTTGGAGCTTATGAACATTGAACGATCATTTTCGATCAAAAGTTCGAGAAGATGACATCGGAATCCAATTCTGACGATTTCATCAGCTCCGGAAGGGTCATTTTAGGTTGGTAGCATGGTCGACATGACTCCCGAGGTTTTCAGTGTGAGTCGGTGC